ACTACCTGAATCGTCTCCATCTTGAACGAGTCTGTGATGATAAATTGATTGAGAGGACGTAGGTTGAGGACAGGCCGGAGGTCCCCTGTCTTCTTGGGGATAGTAAACAAACGACTCTGGAAACCAGGTCCCGAAGCGTGCTCTATGGCTTTTTTGGCCAGAAGTGCGATCACTTCGTTCTCTATCGCCAGTGTCTCCTCCTTGGATAGATGCGGGGAAAGGGCTCTTGATGTGTGTGTTATTGGAGGTTGTCTGTGGAAGGGAATCTGAAAACCGTTTCCAATCACGGAGCGGACCCACCTGTCGTCCGTGAGGAGCCTCCAAGCCCTCGAGTAGAGGTGCAGACGGCCCCCTACTGGCTCTTGTTGGCGCTGCCGCGTCCCCGTCCACGGCTGCCTCTGTAAAAATACTGTCCCTGCTGGTTGTTATGCATGGGCTCTCCATACCCGTAAGTGAGCTGAGGAGGTGTGGCTTGTTGTGCTTGATGATGATTCGCTGGTGAATAAGGTTGCGATTGTGATGGAAATTGCTGGAACTGTTGCTGCTGGTGGGGGTACATGTTAAAGTAAATACCCCTGCTGCGAGAACCGGAATTGCGACCGGATCCTCTGTTTTGCAAAGCTGTCTTGCGAGGCTTGCTGGCCTCCTGGTACTCCTCAGCAGCTTTAATTCGGGCTGCAATATCATCTTTAGTGATAGTTGCAGTCTTTTCATGATCAGGGGCTGGCTTGAGACCCTTTGCGTACACAAAATTATCCATGCGCAGATCGGTGATTTGGCGTGCTGTAACGGCCAGATGAGATCGCATGACATGCCCAAAATCTGCGACGATCTGCCGTAATGCAGGATCGTGCACTTTGTGAAAGTATTCTGCCAGGAATTCGTCCAAGGGTCGCGTAGCGTGGGCCTGACGTTCCTGTAGTTGGGATAACCACTTGTCCACTCGTTGAAAAGAAGTGGTCTCCTGAGGCCAAGGCAACTCAAGAGAGGGCGCTTTGTACTGCTGATCTGGGTTCTTGGGATAGAGGACGTACTCGGTGAGGATGTTATCGTCGCCAGAGTTGTCCGGGGGACGGAAGAAATGAGAGCCGTCAAGGGAAGGTACAGCCGCTTTGAGGGTATCAGAGAGGACAAGTATCTTGGCCTGTGGGCGATCAATGGTGATGGGGGAAGGGGAAGAGGAGGAAGGGTTGGCCTGCGTAAGGGCAGCCACCTGCTGACGAAGAGTGTTGATTTCATGAAGGAGTGCATTATGAGTGTTGTCGGTAGAATTGTCGCTCATTGGAACGAATAGATAATAGTCTGCAACGGATGAGTTCCAGGAGCGACGAGAAGAAAGATGTAGATCAGAGTTGCAGGGCAGAGGGATCTTTTTATTTAGTTTATTTTTCTTTATTTCTCGTCGGATTTTCAATGAAGAAAGGTGACACACATACGGACATGGTACCGTAGACAATGATCGATTGATCACTTCTAACGTTGCCGATACGATTCGACTGCCATATGCGAGTTCTATATTTTCTACCACACCTATACGGGGAATAGTCAGGCTCTCATCGGCTAGAGTGATAACGCCTGCAACAGGAGAGATTTCTTTGTTATGTTTAAGGATAATATCTTTTCGGATACACGTAACACTCGCGCCTGTGTCAACCAAAGCTTCATATTTTTCCCCTTCGAAGTTAACAAAAACTATGATTCTTTTGTCAGCCCTCTCTTGATTGAGATGGAGTTTGGCTAAGATATGGAAATCATCGTTAGGGATAACATTCGAGGAAGATAAAGATGAAACTCTTATATGAGAAGGTGAGTGTATAAATTCAGATTCGAGAGTAGCAGTGACGCATTGATCATGCCATGACAATATTGTGGGGTTGATTAACTCCATAGAGATTCTAGGCTGGGTGCCAAAGATCATTAATGGTGGTTTCGTGAGAGAAGGGTTTTGATATGTTTGAGCATAAAATGATAAATTTAATAGATTTTTGGGATGTATTGAAATCTCTTTTTTATTCTTTTCTATCGAATGAGCTTCGTTTAAGTCATCGAGTACTTGAGGTGGACTTGTTGAAACCTGTGTATTAACAGTAGAATTCGACAGAGTGTTATTAAGGACTGTTTGCTTATGCAGTGACATGTTATAATTAGATTTAGGACGATCCTTACCAGACCTATTATTGTTTCTGGTACATTCGGATGCCAGATGGCCTCGTGCATTGCATTTTGCACATTGTTTGTGTCCATCCGTATTGTGGGAGGAATTTTTGCCCCATTGCTGGCAATCATGGAGGGGTTTTGACTTAGCCTCCTCATTGTAGGCTTTGCCCTTAGGGTTAAATCTTTCCTCAGATGCTCGTGCGCGGCGCATTGGACCTGTGTCACGGCGATGAGGTGCAGGATTATTATCGGTAATAACCTCTTGCGGGATGTGGGGACCAGTAAGACTTCCCAAAATCTTTGTAAATTCTGAGATTGACTTAAAGGCGAGCACCGGTTCTTGTTTCAGGAGTGAGGGCAGCACGCTCGGGGGTGTGAGGAGTGGTAGTAGGGTTCATGTTGGAAGGTGAGAGAGAGGTTTTTTTTTTTTTTTTTTTTTTGATAATGGATGGGATGTGTGTGCAAATCTTCACTTAAAAAAATGAAAAATATTTAGACAGTAGTTATCAGAAGCTAAGATAAGTGAGAATAAGATGTGGGTCCACACACCACATCCATGGGGTATTTATTCATTTTCTGGTAGAGAGACTCGTACCAAGTAACTACATATCTATCTAGAAGCGACATGGGATTATTCAGGAACCATGTCGGTGTTTTGTCGCGTCTCTAGTGACGCTTTATTATTATTATACTTTTCTTAGCGTATTAATTTTAGGAATTCCCCTAGTGTGTTCCTAGTACGTTTTTAGTATTTTTCTTAATCTTCTAGCTGGGCCGTTATTATCTTGTATATTGAAATATACAACAGTGTGCACACAGGCCTAGCGCCATTTTGCACTGAGTTACTAACAACGCTATTAAAGCAAGCAGTAAAAAGGAAAAAGCTAAGGATTAATAGTCTATTGCTGAGACGAAAAAATCCAACCGTTGAAAATCAAACTCACCCTTTATTACTTGAGCATGGTCTATATCTACTCCTAGGCAACTGCAGATACTGCATTTATACACTGTAGGAGCTGGTTGACGGTGCTCGCCCTGCAGGTAAGTAATAATGATGGAGGGTTAAAAAAAGAATGACAAAATCTAATGAATATAAAATAGGAACCTTTGCCTTCGAATTGACCCAATATTCTGCACATCGTTGCTGGCAGCGTTATTCAAGTTATAGAAGGTATATAAGCTTAAGCTCAGCATGCACCAACCACTACCATGTCAAAAATAAAATAAAATAAAATAAAATAAAAAGTTTTCTACGATTGTTAAATACCGAAATCACTCATTCTTAATTATTTGGGTATGAGCTGCGCACATGGCCTGGACGACTGCACCCACATACAGACGTGGAATGGAAGGGGGAGCGAGGCGATTGGGAAAAATCGTTCTGTCTTTATCAGTTGGGAAAATATTATTAATGTTTATATATTCCAAAAACATAAAAACAAAAAGATAAGAAGGCCTTACCACATTCCTTACATTCTGAGGGCATAGTCTCTTGCCATGTCTGTCGCTGCTGCACAGGCTACATGCCATGAGGCGTAGTGTTGAGAGGGATCTTTAACTAATATAGATAATAAAATCCAAAAATAAAATAAAATAAAAATAAATGTAATAGTGGCAAAAGTAGAGAACAGTGGATAAACGTGAATTATATGTAGTCCCTTCGGAAATAAACCCCCACCTAATGCAATAACAAAAATAAAGTTAGCATTTTAGCATTGGCGGGTATGCAAGCGAAAATGCTAGAATTTAACTGTTACACTAGATTGTTCCTCGCAGAAGAACTACGTAATGTAAATTATCATTCCCATAGTTTTAGATAGGCTTTCTAGCATTACTTTTGTAGTGTAGGAGGTACTCTTTTATGATCATTACTTGGCTATTTAGCTACCTCTATTATAGACAATGCATCAGTATGGTACGTAGGTCCCTTGTCCTCTTTTTGTGAGGGAGATTGTGGGATTGAAAGAGAGCGAACAGTTGTTCATGTGGAGGTATGCGGGACGGCTGCTGGAGATCAACTCGGTGGAGTGAGTGCCGTTAGACCAAGGACTTGAGCTTGGCTATCCTTAGAATAGGACAAACACATCCTTGCTGCAAGAGCAACCTACGTCAAGCAAGCACTACATCGAAGTTCAGCTGCAGTCTTAAACCTTTCTACCTCATTTTTCCTTTCTTCCCCTTTTTCCATCTCCTATTCAAGCAATGCAAGCAGGGCAGAGCCGATTGGCCTATAAGCCCAGTCATATTCCTTCACCTGTTCTCCTCCTTGTAAGCTCTCTTCAAACCTCCGTCTCACCGGACTTGCCATGCTTTGATGACCCATTTGGCAGGTGGCGAAGGTCTGACAGATGAACGTATGGAACATATCTTTTTTTTTTCTTTTCAAATGAAGAGTGAAAGATATGTGAAGGTAAAGTGTGTGAAAGCAAGGAATGTGATAGAAGAAGGTGTAGAGTGGTAAAGTACGCTAAGAGTTCAGGCCCATAATATGTATATACTCTCGCATCGTATATTGTTGACATGACCTTTAATAGTGTGTATGGTATACCGTACTCAGAGTAGAGGTCAAATTTTTTTGAGCAAAAATTTTTTGGTGTCGACATTTGCAATGAAGAGAGCACTACCCTTTATTTTCTCTTTTCATTTACAAATAAGATACCTCTTTATTTCCACCCAGGGAGCCATATTGGGGCCAAAGCCACTCTCTGTAGCAGTCACTTTGCCTTCATGGCAGTCACATTTCGGCACGTGCAGACACCCTTTCGTTTTAATATATAGGATTAATTGATCGATTCAATTAGCATTTCTAATTAATGCAAGATCAGCGCTAAGAAAGATCGCTCTTATTTCTTACGAGATGTTCCTGGGCGGATGAGAGGAGGAGAAGGAGAAAGAGCAGTTGGAGCCAGACTAACAATGTTCACAACTAATGAAAATAAAAAAAATAAAATAATCAATTAGTAAGTTGTCGCGTCATCATCAAAATAATTAATGAATCAATGTAATGGAGCAACTCGGAACGCGACTCACCAGCAGATGGACGCTGGACAATGACATGGATGGTTTTCTTTGCTGAAGAAGCACCAAAGACTTCAGAAATCTCAGTCACACCTTTCTTGGCGCCAATCTTCTTTGCAGTAAGGCGATGGTCATTAAGAAATATTGGTTTGTCATCTTCGTCGTCGTCTTCATCTCCAATTGGGATGGAGACCTAAAAAAGCACGAGCTCGCTGGCGCGTATGTCGTCAAGCAGAGGTGATTGCTTTTCCTTGATTGCATCCTTGAGTGCTGCAATTGTGTCATCATTCTCCAGCTTGACTTCAAATCCTGAGGAATCGCCATCAAGAATGCAAAAGAGCTTAATTTTTTGGGTTGACATTTAGTATAATTGCGCGCTGAAAAAAAAAAGAAAATTATTGACTTGAAGAACTACAAAGGGTGAGATTGATTGAAGTGATATGAACGAGAATGCGCGTTATTGTGACGGAGTAAGGCGAGAGTGATGGAAGGAAGGATGAAAGTAAGAAAGAAAAAGAGTGTGCTCACTGAAAATAAATTACGTACACACGTATGGGGATTGTAAGCCACTCCGCCTGCTTTTTATTCCCACACCGCTTTTTCTTCCATCACCATCATAATCATAATCATAATCATAATCATAATCATGTCATCATTACCCATAATCCTTTCAATTACTTCATCATCATTCTTTTCTCTCTTGCTTTTCCCTTCAAGCAACATAAGAGTGATCAGCTTTTCCTATCAAACCAAGGTAATTACACTCAAACTATTTAATTAATAGAGTTCGTTTTCGCGTTTAATTACCTTCAATCGGACTTGATTTCCATTTTTCTAATACTTTTCTGTGCATCTATTTATTCCCACACATTGCACACCTATTTTACTCTCTCACACACTCTCTCGTTACAAATTTATTTTTTTTCTCTTTCCTTCGCATTATTTTTTTTCTTTCTTCCCCTCCATGTACTTTATTTTCCTGACTACGCATCAATCTTTTCGCCTCTCTCAGTACACTTTCTCTGCATATTTTTTTTTTTTTTTTGCCGTGCTCTGAATCTTTTCCCACTTTCTCTGTGCACTCACTCACACACACACACACACACACACACTCTCTCTCTCTCTCTCTCTCCCTCTCTCTCTTCATCTATTGTTTCTTTTTCCTGAGAAGGTAATGGACTCTTTTCAGTTTCAAGCGCATGCAAAAACGTTCTGTCATTGCGACCTGGCCCCCTTGGATCCAGCGTGTGGTTAAGGTTCGTCCCATCCACGCCGATCTGGGAGGTGGTCGTGACAGGATCGGCTGCCAATGGGGCCGCACGACAAATGCTCGCTGAGCAGTCGTGACGTTCTGTTTCCAGCTCATGTGTATCTTTAAGCGCATGCAAAAACGTTCTGTCATTGCGACCTGGCCCCCTTGGATCCAGCGTGTGGTTAAGGTTCGTCCCATCCACGCCGATCTGGGAGGTGGTCGTGACAGGATCGGCTGCCAATGGGGCCGCACGACAAATGCTCGCTGAGCAGTCGTGACGTTCTGTTTCCAGCTCATGTGTATCTTTTGGGGAATGGAAGAACGGAGCGCAGTCTCACAAATCGGCTTGGCCTCTCTTGGTCTAGCGTGTGATCAAGGATCATCCCGGTCCATGCCGACCAAGGAGGTAGTCGCGATATTGTTGTTCTGCATGGACGCTCGACATTTACCCACGTTGTGTGGTCGGGACTCTGTGTTGAAGTCTGCTATTTTATTTCTCCTATCAACTGATGGTTTCAGATATTACCTAAACATCACACTAATGATTTCTTTTTGTTTCCTAGCCAAATGACGACTCATATCACCTGGGCAAATACGACCAAAGTGGAGAATGGAAAGATGATTGAACATGTGTCGTTCGGGTCGTTTGTAAAAAAATTCAACCTCAGGGATAAAGAGATAGCAAAAACACTGTACGCAGACCTACTCAACTCCCCGAACATTAACGAAAAACGACGTCAACGTCTAAAGCGAGCGTATGATGAATTCCGAGACTCTCGTCTACAATCCTTCTGGACGTCATGGGAACAAACACTCTTCTTGAATGAGACTCAAAAAAAATTGGAGGTGAACGCCGCTATAGTCCGCAAGGAGACCGCCATCATGGCGCAACAGGCGTCGCTTCACGATTCAGCCAGTGTCTTTGCGGCTCCACCGTCGAGCAGTAAGGGAATGATCCTCACTCCAGCATCTTCGGCAACAGTTACACCAATGTCAGCAACTGGAGTGGCAGAGACTGAAGGTGTGTATATTGCAATTCATGAACGAAGTCTCTCATTTCATATAACTTGCCACCGACTCCCGCGTATTTTTCTATGACTTGTTGTATATGAAGCACAGGGTTTATGCGGGGGTTTTTATTATACGAATCATCATTTCAATTTGAGATGTATTTATTATTATTATTATTATTAACATGCAGTGATCGTTCTTATACTGTATTTAGCAATAGCCGAATTGAATGCAAAGATAAATACACTAGATCGTGACCTTGAAGCTGCTCTAGAGCAATGGACCGCTTCAATCGCTGGTCAGATTAAGGAAGTGGAATTAATATCATTTCAGCAGAAGCAACTGAGAAGCCTAAGACTAAGAATCATTGGTATGTAGGATTTTTATTTTTAAGCTATTACCTGCTTTGTTTATATATTCATCTAATATATTTGGTGGGCTTTAGATTTGAGCAATGAGGTCGCACAACTCCAAGATGATAATGGGAGCCTACTGGAAAAAATATCTCGAATTCAAAGGAAACTTTGGTATGATATTTCATTTCTTTCGCCTTCCATTATATTGTAATTTGAAGCTAGCGCTAATATTTGGCTATTTGGCTATTTGGCTATTTAGTGAGCAGCTAGAAGTCAATCGAAAACTGGAAAAGGATCTCAAGGCGGTTGAAGCGGTAGAGGAGAAAGCAGCAGAGGAGGCGAAGAAGGCAGAGGAGGAAGCGGCAGAGGAGGCAAAGAAAGCAGAGGAAGCGGCAGAGGAGGCGGCACAGGAGGAGGAGGCGGAGGTGGAGGAGGCGAAGAGGGCGGCAGCAAAGATGAAAAATGCCCAAAAGAAAAGTAATACACAAAATATTTCAAACAGCAACAAGCATAGACCACTAAAAAGACAATCATCAGAGCTATCGATTCCATCGCAAAGGGTGAGGAAACCTCGCATTCAACCTCCATCAACGTCCCATGAATCGGATATTGAAAAAGAAAGAATCAAGGCAGATCTTCGCAAGACAGAGCTCAAAGCAGATATTATCAGAGCATGTATAGAAAAAAACAAGATAGATGACATTCCAAAAATGTTGGCTTTTCTTGACTAGCAGAAAGAACTTTTTTTTTTTACGTGTGTGTATTTTTCTACTTTTTTTTCTCAATTTAATTGCTTTCTTTCCTTTTTAATGTGTATTTCTTCCTGCTTACTTTAATGTTTTCTACCATATTTTTTTTCTTTCCATTTTTTTTAAATAAAAAAATCTTTCATTTCGGTTTTGCACTATTTACAAGCATATTTCAAATAAATTTATTGTTTATAGCATATTTTAATATGCCTCTGACTACATTTGTTTTGATGGTTGCCTTCAGAAAAGTTTGGCGAAATGTAAATGCATTGATTGTAGGTTGAACCACTTCAGGATCAGCCATTCTAACCGGTTATTGGTTAACCGCGGTTAATTACACAGCGTTCTTACACAGCGTTCTCGAATAATATGAAGAGAAAAGCATATTATCCGAGGGAGCCGACCTATAATGTCCCACCCTCCTCTCCCTAAGCTAGTCTGGTCCGGAGCTCAAGTCGAAGATGCTGATCAATCTTTGTGGCACCATAGTTTTGTAGCAAAAAAAAAAAAAAAAAAAAAAAAAAAAATTGTTTATTTTTATTTAGTGACTATGGATTTTCGGCGAATTAATAAAGAAAAGAAGTGACACATTATAGGTCGGCTCCCTCGGATAATATGCTTTTCTCTTCATATTATTCGAGAACGCTGTGTAAATCACTTCGGCCAATATCGCTTACAGCAAAACCCTTTAATAAGCACATTTTAAAAGAAAATAAAAAGTAAAAAAAAAGAGAGAGATGATTGTTCTTTTGAACAAATCTGTTGAACAATGGACTTAATCTCAACTGATCGTAGCAACAAGGCTACTCTACAGCTTACAATACCTCGTTCAATAAAAGTCGTCTGCAATGGATTTATCTCTTCCAATATTTGAAATTAACATTAGCAGGAACCTCATGAAGCCTTTCCGCTCCACAAGATCACCCCACGTAGCATGATTCAGGAGCCGAAGCTCTATTCGTATTCAACTAATTATCGGAAAAGGCGGTAATCGTCGCGTTCTAGCACGGATTCTGACTTAGAGGCGTTCAGCCATAATCCAACGGATGATAGCTTCGGGCCATTGCCTGTTCAGGCAGGCCCAAATACCAATTATCCGAATGAACGGTTCCTCTCGTACTAAGTTCAATTACTATTGCAACAACATTTCATCAGTAGGGTAAAACTAACCTGTCTCACGACGGTCTAAACCCAGCTCACGTTCCCTATTAGTGGGTGAACAATCCAACGCTTACTGAATTCTGCTTCAGTATGATAGGAAGAGCCGACATCGAAGGATCAAAAAGCAACGTCGCTATGAACGCTTGGCTGCCACAAGCCAGTTATTATTAAGCCTTTGGGAAATTTTCTCCTCCCTTTTCCCCAATAAGGTTTTAATAAACGGCCAAAACTTAAACATGCCAATATTAGCTGGCCAAGTCGAATAACATGACGACTTAAGCTTATTATCCGAGAGCCAGGACCATATATGTCCCACCCTATACCCACCCTTTTGTCTTTAGTTTTACTATTTTTTCCTGGCTCACTATCAAGAAGATGCAGATCCAACTTGGTAGCAGAGCAGATTTATATAGTTTATTTCTTTTATTTAAGGGTAGTTTTCTGAAAAGTTCGCTAAATTAGGCAATAAAAGAAGATAACACATATATGGACATGGCACCGTAGAAAATGGACATGGCACCGTAGACAATGGTCTACTGAATGGTCTACGAAGGACGACCTATTCACATTGTCATAGGTACCATGGACGTATGTGTCACCTTCCTTCATTGAAAATCCGACGAGAAATAAAGAAAAATAAACTAAATAAAAAGATCCCTCTGCCCTGCAACTCTGATCTACATCTACTTCTCGAGCCAAAAAGGGGTGGTGTGGGTGGGACATACGTCCATGGTACCTATGACAATGTGAATAGGTCGTCCTTCGTAGACCATTCAGTAGACCATTGTCTACGGTACCATGTCCGTATGTGGCTCCAGAGGGATCGCCAAAGAGAACTAAACTAAAACAAAACTAAAACTAAAAGAAAACTGAACGAAATGAACAACTAACTAAAGAAAATCTAGCCTAGAGTGCTCATGGACATGTTGTTGGAGGTGGCACTCGACAAACGGTAGTGCTTCTCGAAGACTTTCGGGGACGACCAATTCCCCTGCACCATGATATCAGCCACTGGTACGCCTGCTATAGCCGCGAGCGTAGAACCTAAGGCTCGGAGCTTAGGAGCTTTCTTGTCTCCTAAATCCATCAGCGAAGAAATCCTACCCATGTGGGAGCCAATAGTAGTCGCACGCGCCGGCTGGGTGTGGTCTTTCACAAATCTAATCAAAGGTACAATGCTTCTTGTTGGGTCCTTCGGGTGAGGAGAGGTAGTGGAAGGACAAGACAGCCTGTCCAGGTAAGCGGTGTATGCGTCGACAGGGCATAGCTTCTTGTCAAAGTGAGAACCAATGGTCACATGCTTAATGATACGTTGTCCATCACTCTTCTCTTTTGGGAAAACAACAACAAGCTGAAGCTTCCCTAACACAATCTTTGAGAGACTGACATCTACACATCTGATGTCGTCTGGTCTCATGAAGCCACAGACGCCTAAGAGCCAACACAGCTTCCATGTAAGCTCCTCAAAAGGCAACTCCATATTTGCTGATGACTGCCGAAAATGGTCCAAAACAGGTGTGATGTCAAAGTGACCAGGCCTGGACTCAACGACACCTTCTTGCTTTCCAGCCTTGAGGAACTGGCGGTAGTATTCATCTGATCGTACTCTCTCTGGGTCACGAAATAGGGCGAGGACAGCCGACTTCATGGTCATCAGCGTGGACCACTTCAAATTGCGAGCGACCCGCACGTAGTGTAGCCAGTTCACTACTGGGATCGCGGGGTTAATCCCTTGTTCGAACGAGCCCTCTTTCAGCCAAGTGACGAATTCAGCTTGATGCTTTTCGTACTCTCGCTTGGTGCTCTTGGATCCTTTGTGAGCACAGATAAACTCAGTCACCGCTGGCGAGAGGCCATCTATGAGCATCCTCGTCCTCTTACTCTCCACGCGGTAAGGCCCCAGTGTGGATTCTTGAGCAGGATGTGCGCGTCGCTTCCTGGTGGAGGAAGAACACATGTTCGTGGAATCGGTAAAGGGGGTTGGGTCGCCATTGCCTGTATCTTCGGGAACCAAATCGCCGATGGCCAAAATGGAGTAATTATGGTCGCTTCCAGGCCTTCCTGGTCTAGCTTCTGCAGGATCCTTGGAAGTAAGTTCCATGGAGGACAGATGTAAAGGTTGCCCAAGTGGCTCCACTTGTGTCTCAGCGCATCGAAGTCCACTGCCAAAGGATGAGGTTTCCATGTCATGAACTGAGGAAGCTGGTTGTTGCTGGGCGATGCAAAGAGGTCTATCCGATGAGGCCCCCACTGCTGGTCTAGACGACGGAAAAATGACGGGTCCAGCCTCCATTCGAGCTGCGCTTGCATCCGGCGTGATGGTGCATCTGCTGGATTGAATACTGAAGGTACATATGTGGTCCTGAGTCTTGTGCCTGTTGCTAGACAATGCTTCCATATTTTGTCCGCCAGGTCCATCAGAGGTTGTGAACGAGTTCCGCCGAACCGGTTGATGTAAGCGATGGTGGTTGTGTTGTCGATTACTAGGTTGAGCATCCTCCCTTGTGCTTGCGGTAGAGTGACTGCGTAGTACACAGTTAGTAACTCTTTTAAATTGATGTGTTGGTGGCGTATGTTTGGTGGCAATAGCCCTGTCCAAGTGCGCTGTCCTATGACGATCCCCCAGCCTTGGTCGGAGGCGTCTGTGTACACGTCCATCTGAGTTGGCGACTGAATCCATGACGTCCTGTTCCACTCCTTGAGTTGGTGTGTCCACCAATCCAGATCGGCTCGAGCTCTGTCGTCCAGTGAGATCGTCGTTTCCCAAGATGACCCCTGATGGCTGAGTGCTCTGTTCTTCAATGCCAGAAGATGCCGCGTCATTAGACGAGCTGGAAATACTGCTGCTGTCGTCGCCATGGCTTTCCCTATGAACGTAGCCAAGTTGCGAACCGTCGTCCATCCCTTGCTGAGCATCTTCGCTGCTTCTCGCCGTATGTCCCTGACCTTGGACTTCGGTACCGAGAGGGTCATGTCGGTGGTGTTGATGGCGAAACCCAGATGATCTAGACATTTCGTTGGCATCAGAGAGGATTTCTCCTTGTTGATGAGAAATCCAAGAGACTTGAGTTTGTCCAGGACAAGATTCGTGTGCTCTTCTGCTTGGGCTTTGGAGCTGGCCATGATCAACAGATCGTCGATGTAAGCTGTCAGCCGTATTCCTCGACGCCTCGCCCATCTCAACACCGGTCGTAGGACCTTCGTGAAGACTAACGGCGACAGTGACATCCCAAAAGGTAGAGTGCGAAACTGATACAGCTGACCCTTCCACTGAAACTGAAGGTAAGGACGAAAATGTGGATGAATCAGCACATGAAGGAAAGCATCTTTGAGATCGATGCTCGTCAAATAATCGTTCTTCTGAAGGGTATTGCATACTACCTGAATCGTCTCCATCTTGAACGAGTCTGTGATGATAAATTGGTTGAGAGGACGTAGGTTGAGGACAGGCTGGAGGTCTCCTGTCTTCTTGGGATAGTAAACAAACGACTCTGGAAACCAGGTCCCGAAGCGTGCTCTATGACTTTTTTGGCCAGAAGTGCGATCACTTCGTTCTCTATCGCCAGTGTCTCCTCCTTGGATAGATACGGGGAAAGGGCTCTTGATGTGTGTGTTATTGGAGGTTGTCTGTGGAAGGGAATCTGAAAACCGTTTCCAATCACGGAGCGGACCCACCTGTCGTCCGTGAGGAGCCTCCAAGCCCTCGAGTAGAGGTGCAGACGGCCCCCTACTGGCTCTTGTTGGCGCTGCCGCGTCCCCGTCCACGGCTGCCTCTGTAAAAATACTGTCCCTGCTGGTTGTTATGCATGGGCTCTCCATACCCGTAAGTGAGCTGAGGAGGTGTGGCTTGTTGTGCTTGATGATGATTCGCTGGTGAATAAGGTTGCGATTGTGATGGAAATTGCTGGAACTGTTGCTGCTGGTGGGGGTACATGTTAAAGTAAATACCCCTGCTGCGAGAACCGGAATTGCGACCGGATCCTCTGTTTTGCAAAACTGTCTTGCGAGGCTTGCTGGCTTCCTGGTACTCCTCAGCAGCTTTAATTCGGGCTGCAATATCATCTTTAGTGATAGTTGCAGTCTTTTCATGATCAGGGGCTGGCTTGAGACCCTTTGCGTACACAAAATTATCCATGCGCAGATCGGTGATTTGGCGTGCTGTAACGGCCAGATGAGATCGCATGACATGCCCAAAATCTGCGACGGTCTGCCGTAATGCAGGATCGTGCACTTTGTGAAAGTATTCTGCCAGGAATTCGTCCAAGGGTCGCGTAGCGTGGGCCTGACGTTCCTGTAGTTGGGATAACCACTTGTCCACTCGTTGAAAAGAAGTGGTCTCCTGAGGCCAAGGCAACTCAAGAGAGGGCGCTTTGTACTGCTGATCTGGGTTCTTGGGATAGAGGACGTACTCGGTGAGGATGTTATCGTCGCCAGAGTTGTCCGGGGGACGGAAGAAATGAGAGCCGTCAAGGGAAGGTACAGCCGCTTTGAGGGTATCAGAGAGGACAAGTATCTTGGCCTGTGGGCGATCAATGGTGATGGGGGAAGGGGAAGAGGAGGAAGGGTTGGCCTGCGTAAGGGCAGCCACCTGCTGACGAAGAGTGTTGATTTCATGAAGGAGTGCATTATGAGTGTTGTCGGTAGAATTGTCGCTCATTGGAACGAATAGATAATAGTCTGCAACGGATGAGTTCCAGGAGCGACGAGAAGAAAGATGCAGATTAGAGTTGCAGGGCAGAGGGATCTTTTATTTAGTTTATTTTCTTTATTTCTCGTCGGATTTTCAATGAAGAAAGGTGACACACACATACGGCATACGTCCATGGTACCTATGACAATGTGAATAGGTCGTCCTTTGTAGACCATTCAGTAGACCATTGTCAAGGGCCAAATATCGTCGTATTTTGTCTTGCCAAATGGGGGAATTGAGGTTTGTGGGACTTGGTTCTTTAGAAGTTTGAATGGCTCTCTGTGGGTATCAATATGCTTCTTTCTTCCGTAAATCTCAATACAATTGATCATGACTGCCTGACCATTAGACCCGTTATACAGAATAGATCCTTGAGCAAACATACTTTAGTCTGGGCTAGGTGATCCAATCTTCGTTGAGAATCTCTCCAATCTCTTTGGTCAATTCGACAAATTTCATTTGAAGCAGTAGTAGTGCATATGGTGATTTTGAAAAGAGACTCTCTAGTCCAGGTGATGGGAAAGTCAAGCAGTTGTGACACAGGTTCTTTTCAATATTCTTGAAAAGGAGGGTTGGATCGACATTAATAAAAACAGGGTTTCCATTCGACAGTGCATCAAGAATGGAGTTGTGTGCAAGAAGGATTTGTCGAACTCCTGATTCCTGCTTAAGGGTGACTGGTGAAAGCTCAAGACCTTCTATGAAAAGTAAAACCGATCTGAACAGGCTCCAAGAACTAATTCCTCTGATCTTTTTCTTTTGGAATGGACTGCTGATTCTGATGAGGTTGTTTTTTCGTCAATTGAAGAGGCCAGTGCACTGGTAGAGGCTGCCGAATCCGATGAGTTTGTTTTTTCGTCAATCGAAGAGGCTGTTGAGCTTGAAATTCCGTCATTCATTTTTTTGCACCTCTTCTGATTCAAATGCTTTTTGATGGTGCGTGCTGTTTTAAATTCAAGCTTGCAGAACGGGCAAGAGAACCGGCCACCAGTACCGACAAGCAGTTGGTGAAAATTTGGAATTTCACAAGTCTCAGAATGACAATCATTCTTGTGATCGCACAAATCCTTTTTCGTTTTGAAGGTTTTGATTCCTTCGCATTCTTTGCATTGATGCCAAGAGGGTGATTAATCATGGCCATGATTTGTGAGGGCTATCAAGAAGTCAATTTTAAAAAAATAGATTTGTCAACAAGATTCCAAAGAAAGAACAGAAAGCAGGTTCCAAAAAAAAAAGAGAGAAAAAAAGAGCAGGCGGATCCAAATAAAAAAAAAAAGAGAGAGGGCGGATCCAAAATAAAAAAAAAAAAAAAAAAAAAAGAGGATCCAAAATAAAAAACGAGGGAGCGGGCTCTGGATCAAAATAAAAACAGAAAAGAGCGGGTTCAAGAAAAAAAAAAAAAACAGAAATTGCAACAAAGGACAGGGCAAAAAAGACAGCAACGGACAGGGGAAAAAAATACGAAGAGGGCGTGACAAGACAAGAGGATGTGACGAGAAGCTTTGCAACTTGGGAATCACATGCAAAAAATAAAAAAAAAAAAAAAGAAGCGTGTAGTTGAGAGTAAAAAACGATCGTATTGATTTTAGTATCAGGTGTCTAGTATGGCATACTAGTACTGCGTACCAAAATAACGGAAATTTAGTATGACATACTCGTACTGCGTACCAAAATAACAAAAACAATCCCGCCTCCACAGCTGCAAAGTATCCAAACTCACCATCCCTCTTCACAAAACCTGTCGTATAGACCATCTGGTCTCTATGGTTCCTGAGAACGCGGATGTACGTATATGCAGTACTCAGGCACTCTGAGAGCATTGCAGGGATGGATCCCATGAATTCATATTAATATCAAATCCACCCTCGTCCCGAGCGCTCTTTTTTCTGATGAAGTGATACTAGACGCAGTATGAGTATGTTATACTAAACTTTCGTTAATTTGGTACGCAGTACGAGTATGCCATACTGGACACTTGATACTAAAGTCAATACGACCTTTTTATATCTGTATGGATTCGATAACATACCTCTAGCAAAAAAGGGGGCGGAGAGGTGTTTTGCATTTTTGTAGGCAGGGAATAAAAAATGAAAATGGTGAATGGGGCTAGATGCGCTAAAAGAGTGGAGGCAAGTAAATGGTGGACATGGTGCATCGTGATGATATAGCTTGATATGGTGTTTGCTGATATTTTTTTGGTGATTGATTTTTTACTAATTAATTTTTACTGATTTTTTCCCACAAACTCATAGGCGGATCAGATCCAGTTTTCTGCGCTCCATACTAGCAGAAATCAGCCGCCTATTACATACAAAGGAAGGAAAAAATCTGTAGAAAAAAATCAGCAGAGACCATATATCAAACTATACCATCACGATGCACTATGTTCACCGTTTACTTGCCTCCACTCTTTTAGCGCATCTAGCCCCGTTTACCATTTTCATTTTTATTTTCTGCCTAAAGAAAAACAAAACACCTTTCCGGCCCCTTTTTTGCTAGAGGTATGTTATCGAATCCATACAGATATAAAAAGGTCGTATTGACTTTAGTATCAAGTGTCCAGTATGGCATACTCGTACTGCGTACCAAATTAACGAAAGTTTAGTATAACATACTCATACTGCGTCTAGTATCACTTCATCAGAAAAAAGAGCGCTCGGGACGAGGGTGGATTTGATATTAATATGAATTCATGGGATCCATCCCTGCAATGCTCTCAGAGTGCCTGAGTACTGCATATACGTACATCCGCGTTCTCAGGAACCATAGAGACCAGATGGTCTATACGACAGGTTTTGTGAAGAGGGATGGTGAGTTTGGATACTTTGCAGCTGTGGAAGCGGGATTGTTTTTGTTATTTTGGTACGCAGTACTAGTATGTCATACTAGACACCTGATATTAAAATCAATACGATCATATACTTGTAGTGCCTTGAGGAAACCGGACTTGAGGATGTCAGAATCCAAGATTGTCTCCATATGGGAGTTTGTTTTAAGTTCTTTTACTGGCCATAAATTGACGTTCGAAAGGTGAGAACTAACATGATAGATTAAAATTGTGAAGGAAGAGTAACTCACATTCACTCAAAATAATTTTCTAGTGGGGTGGCTGTCCATCCTATCTCAAATTGAATGATTAGATGGTGGGTGATGGACATGACATAAAAGCAAGTTTGAGAACCACTGAACGTACCATTAACATCCATAGCCAACAAACGGTTATCCTCCCAAGACCATCCGACCTTCTCCTCCAAATTCAGCATCATGGAGTGGTTAATCAATAGATTTTTTCTGAATTGAAGATCGAGTTACTGTTTAGAAGTGTTACACCTCTTAAACTCACTGTTATTCAATTCAATATCATCTGTTATTCGCAATTGAAGATCAACTTTCCTTCCATAAACTGATGTAGAGGCATCCAAGCTCAGTTCTCCTCCAAGAATTTCATTTTGATATTTTGATGCCTTGCTAATGAGCTCCGTGTTTTGTTTGAAGCGCATGGAAGATGTTTTTATCTGTGATTTGGTGACAGACCATGCCATAATGTTGCCTCATTGTGACATGTCATGGAGTGAGTTTCTTACGGGCAAGGGCGGGACCATTGCTTCATTGTGGAATTACTCAGTAAGTTACTTCATTTTCTAATAAAATGTCCACCTACACCTCATTTTACGCCTACACCTCATTTTACGCCTACACCTCTTTTTTACGCCTACACATCTTTTTACATCTGCACCTTCATTATTCACTCTTTTACATCTTCATCTCCTTTTACATCATGTCTTTTACATCATCACTTTTTTAAATCCACATCTTTACTTTCATCTAAATCTCTTTCATCTGAATCTTTTACATCTAATTCTCTTACATCATCTTCAACTCGTTTTACATCTACATCTCTTTTTTCATCTAATTTCTTTTACTTATAACTTTAGCTGGCCAAGTCGAATAACATGACGACTTAAGCTTATTATCCGAGAGCCAGGACCATATATGTGGATCCAGAGCAGATTCCTTAAGATAGTATCATCGAGGTGAAATTAGTGGCTGTTGCTGCGTTCAGTCGATAGAACTTGTCGAACAGAATTGATGAAGACCAATTGCCTTGTACCACTACATCGTCGACACTGGCGCCTTGTTTAATGGCTTGGGTGGAACCAATAGCCCTGGCTTTGGGTAACTTGGAGCCATTTGGAAGAATGAGCTTGCTGCTGATGGCTGAGATATGATTGCTTATTCGATCAGCTCCCACGGGTTTTTTGAGGTCTCTGATATCTCGTATTAAAGGACGATATCGAATGCTTTGGTCCTTAGGGTGCGGTACGCTGATAGCGTGAGTCTCAATCCTTTTGAGATGTTCGGTGAAGGTCATCACCGGGCAAAGGGAACTGTCGGTGTGATTCTTAACTGTGGTGTATTTGCATATCCTGCTGCCACCACGTGTTTCCTTGGGAATCAAAATTGGAAGGACTACAACGATGCCATCGATATGGAATTTGTCATTTGATAGATCGATACACATGATATCGTTTGGTCGGAGAAACCCACATGTACCGAGTAGCCAACACAGTTTTTGTGTGAGAATAAGGAGAGTGAGAGAACTGTTAGGCCCTAGTTGTTGTAAATATTCGACAGCGGGTTTGATGTCTATATTGAGTTCCTTTGTATGCTTGATCTCACGACGACGTAGAGTTTGGAAAAATAACAGAAAGTCCGGATCGTTGAATGTGCTCTTGTCGTCATACATATGAATGACTGCGGCTTTATATGCGTCCACTGTTGAAGCTGACCATCCGTGGATTGCGACTCCGGAGGCAAGCCAGTTACATAGTTGAGGTGGCTGTGGTACCATGGCGACTACATTGCGTGCTGTGGCCCACTGGATATACCTGTCTTGTATCTTGGCGTATGCGCGTTGCTTGCGTTGTAACTCAGGACTGTCCACAACTATCGATGCCGCGGCTGGGTCGAAGCCTTTCGCTTCGAGTCGTCGCCTCTTACCCTCCAAGCGCATAATGACCAATGGGGATTTTTGGCCAGAATGTCTGGTGCGTTTCCCGGCGCTGGGAGAACTTGATGGCGAGGTATTGGTATTGGATGGTCCACTGCCATCATCTTGATTGTTGGATACCACATCGCCGAAGGCCAATAAGGTGTCACTAAGGTTGCTTCTATCTTCTCCTCTCGGATTTTCTCCAATACTAGGGGGATGAGCTTCCACGGCGGGCATAAGTAAACGTTGCCGAATTGGCGCCAATGATGTTGAAGGGTGTTGTGCCCTATTGCTCCTGCAGTTGGTTCCCAGCTCATGAACTTCGTCACTTTGTTGTTTATTGGCGAGGCGAATAGATCGACGTGGTGAGGGCCCCATCGTCTTTGGAGCTTTTTGAAGAATTCTTTGTCGATGCTCCATTCTAGTTGTCCTGTCAGGCGCCGGGATGGGGCGTCTGCGGGGTTGAATGCTGAGGGCACGTAGGTTGTCTTGATCCTTGTCTCTGTCTTCAGGCACCATTCCCATATCGATGTCGCTAGCGTCATCAGTGCTGGAGATCGTGTCCCGCCGAAGTGGTTGATGTAAGCCATTGTCGTGATGTTGTCCGTTATCACGTTCACTGTGCGTCCCCTCACTTCTGGTTGTTTCAGGGCGTAGAAAATGGCCTGCATTTCCTTGTAATTGATGTGTCGTTCTCGAAGACTGTCTGACCAAGATCCCTTGATTGTCTGGTTGTTGATGACTACGCCCCATCCTGAATCCGATGCGTCGGTGTAAATGTCGACTTCTGGGTTGGTTGCGATCCATGTCTTCCCATTCCATGATTTGAGATGTGTTCTCCACCAAAGGAGTTCCTCCGTTGCTTTGGTTGACAGAGATATTGAGCGTTCCCATGAGGGATCCAATTTTTCAATGCATGAATCTTGTCTGCCATGAAGTGCTGAACCTTGAGGCGAGCTGGAAAGACTGCGGCTGTCATTGCGCTCGCTTTGCCTATGAAGGATGATAGCTGACGGACTGTGCAGATCCCTTTGTTGGCCAGTTTGGACGCTTCTCGACGAATGTCCCGGATTTTCTTGCCCGGTACACTCAGGGTCATCGTCGTTGTATCTATCTCGAATCCCAGATGTTCCAGTATCTGTTTCGGTTGAAGACTCGACTTGGATTCCTTTGTCAAGAAACCTAGGCTTTTCAGTTTTGTCAAGACTAGTGCTGTTGCACGTTGGGATGATTCCTTGCTCGGTGCTGCGATTATCAGGTCGTCGAGGTAAGCTGATATTCTTATTCCTTTTGTTCGTGCCCATTGAAGTAGAGGCTTCAGTATCTTGGTGAAAATCAATGGTGCTAGGGAGAGTCCGAATGGTAGGACCTTGAATTGGTACAGTTGTTCCCTCCATTGGAATTGAAGATATTTTCGTGATGCTGGGTGTATCGGCACATGAAGAAATGCATCGCTCAGATCTATACTGGTAAGATAATCGTTTTTCTTTATTAGATTGCATACTTGATGGATTGTCTCCATCTTGAAGTGTTGTGTAGGTAAGTACTGATTTAATGCTTTCAGGTTTAGGACAGGTCTTTCGTCTCCAGTCTTTTTGGGGATTGTGAAGAGCGGACTTGTAAATCCGGGTCCACTCGCGAATTCTATTGCACCCTTCGTTAGCAAAGCGGGCACTTCGTTGTCCACACTCTTTGTCGCCTTCTCCGATAGCGGGTAAGGTGGAGGATGGGATGTTGAAATTGGGGGTGCGTTCAAGAGCGGGATAGAGTAACCTTCCTTGACTATCTCTAGGAGTGTTTGATCTTTTGTAACATTCCGCCATGCGTTTAAGAAGAGTGTGATTCTTCCCCCGACTTTCTCTCTTGTCGTCGGCGGCTGCTGCTTCGGTCTCTCCGGCGGCTGTCTGATCTCCGGTAGCTGCTGTCCTTTCTTCGGCTGTTGCTCTCTCCTCGCCTGTAGTTGTTGTCCCCCTGTCTGTAATTGTTCTCCCCGTAAAAATAACGGCCTTCGTTGCTTTTGTTGCCAAATTTGTAGTTGTAAGACGAATTAGAGTTTGTCTTATTTTTCTATCTGAACTACTGCTATGGTGCGTGCCAAAACTGATACAATAATTTGCATTATCCTCGTAGCCATGGTCCATGTGTGTGACCTCTTTTTATTCCTTCTGACCGAGAAAACTAAAAATAAAATAAATAAAATCTAGCGTTCGCTCTGATCTACTCTCTATCTTCTTTTTTCTCGCTCAGGAACACATCCAGCGTATTGAAGTTCCAAATGAGCGAGTATGACACTTCTGATCCAATTATACACTCTCTCCAGAGCCAGCTGGCTACACTCACCAGCCGGCTTGAAGCTCTCTCGACTAGCTCTGAATCCAGTCGATCGAACCCCTACTTGGTTCCAAAAGAACCAGCTTACGAAATTACACCTGACGACTCCATTCTCGTCCACTACCCAGCAATGGACGGGAAAGATTTTTTCAAACATAAATCTGGAAACCGTGCAGACGATCTTGCATATGCAACAGAAATGGCTAAAGAGATGCAGTCTTTTGCCAAAAACACAACCCAAACCTATTCTGCACCCAAATCGGCACTCATTGACTGGCCCGACTCTTCCTCTCACCACAGTTCCATGGACAAAACAATCTCACGCTATCAATCACGATTGGCAAACCTTACAAGACCACTTGATCAATTTGCCACGGAAATGTTTTCCTACGAAGTTGACCCTGCGGTCGCACAAGCGTGCTTACAGCTCGCACAGACAATGCGTGAACATATTGCACACCTTGCACAGCAAATGTCAAGCGACAGGGAGGACCTTGTTTACCAAGCGCACAAAATTTCAGTCACCAAGGACACAGTTGATCCACCAATTGTCTCTACTTCAGACTTCATTGAAGCCAGCAAATTGGCAAAGAGTGTTCGTCAGGCTACTAACCCGACAAGACAACGGGCGTACAACAGGAGGACTCAAAACCGGAGTTTCTTTAGCGCAAATACTTACAGACCCACTTCTAATTCTAGCCAATCTCATCCATCGGGTCAAACTCAGACCGCCCACTATCAAAATGACAATGGTTCTTTTTTTGGGCGAGGCCAAAATCCAAGGAGAGGGGACGAGGCCGAGGCCGAGGCTACCAAACCCCTCAATCCAACCAGACAAGTCAGGCACAGACTGCAGGCCAGCAGTAGGTGGCCGTTTACAGATTTACAGAGAAGCATGGGCTCTCATAACCGACAGCGAATGGGTCAAGTCGGTCGTCTCCGAGGGATTCAAAATCCCTTTCCACAAACGGCCACCGATATCCAGTTCAACAGCGTACCAAGCTCGAGTAGCAGCGGAGGAAGAGAAGGCGATCGATCAAGAGGTAATCGCACTCTTAGCCAAAAGAGCAATAGAGGTCGCTTCGGGCCCTGGTTTCAAGAGCCGAATATTCACTATCCCCAAGAAAACCGGGGACATTCGTCCAGTCTTAAATCTAAGACCGTTGAATGCCTACGTCTCAGAGCGGCACTTCAAAATGGAGACGATGACGACAGTATGCGCAATGTTACAGAAGAACGACTTTATGACAAGCATCGACCTATCAGACGCATTTCTTCACGTACTAATCCATCCAGATTATCGTCATTATCTACAGTTCCAATGGAAGAACCGGAAATTTCAATTCCGTACACTTCCCTTCGGGCTCTCACTCTCTCCGCTAGTGTTCACCAAAGTTCTCAAGCCTTTCCTCAAATGGGCACGACGACGAGGAATTCGCATATCAGCGTACCTAGACGATTTGATAATCCTAGCCAAGAACAAAGAACAATCAATCCAGTTCACTCAACTAGTGCAAGACAAGTTGGCAGCGCTAGGATTCCTCATCAAGGAAGCCAAGTCTACGTTGATCCCGTCACAGAAAATAGACCATTTAGGCTTCACCATCAACTCCCGGGATATGACTGTCACAGTTCCGAAATCCAAAGTCAGGGACATACGGCGCGAGGCAGGAAAGCTACTACGAAAAGGCGCCACTTCTTTAAGGGAACTTTCTTCGTTCGTCGGGAAAGCAATGGCAACATCTATGGCAGTGTTCCCAGCGCGATTCATGACACGGAATCTGCTTCACCTCAAGAACACAGCACTAAAAGCCAAGGGAGCTTCTTGGTCGGACACGGTCACCCTCACGGAACCAGCCAAGGAGAACCTTCAATGGTGGAAGGAGCAACTGACGTCATGGAATGGTCTGTCATGGATTCAACAACAGACACAAATGGACATATACACGGATGCATCGGACACCGGATGGGGGATCGTGATCAACAATCAAACATGGAGTGGCAAATGGACTCCACAAGAGAAAGACCACCACATCAACTGGAAGGAACTACAGACAGTTCTTCGAGCTGTTCAACTACCAATAACACAGGGCAAAATGATCAACATCATATGCGACAACACGACGACGATTGCACACATCAACAGGTTCGGAGGGACGAGGTCTCCGGAACTAATGAGACTAGCGGACACGTTATGGCGTCACTGCCTAGCAACGGGGACTCGACTTCGGACGACATACATCCCATCTGCATTCAACCCAGCGGATGCACCGTCACGGCGAATGATATCGCAATTGGAATGGAGGATCAGTCGCCCATTCTTTCAACAACTGGAACACCAATGGGGGCCACATCAGGTGGACCTATTTGCGTCGGCACAGAACAAACAGCTACCGACATTTGTCTCATGGAAATTCCATCCAGATGCTCTGAAGATAGACGCCCTTCAACACAACTGGACAGAGATGGGCAACCTTTACATTTGCCCCCCATGGAATCTTCTATCAATCATCTTGGAGAGGATACAGACCCAGAAACTGACAGCAACAGTAATAACCCCATGGTGGCCGAGTGCAATATGGTTCCCAACCATCAAGGAGATGGCAGTAGCACCACCAATCCCGATCCCTCGGGAAGCAGTCCTACCAGCCGTCGGAAGCGCAAGCGATCTCCTCAGCAAGAATCCACTCTGGTCATTGACAGCATGGAGAATAAGAGGCGACGTAAAGATCTAGATGCAGGACTCTCACCATCCGCTATCACTCTACTAGATTCAGCAGGTGCCAACAGCAAAACACGTCGACAATATCTGCCAACTCAAGAGGCTTTCGCAGTATGGGCTCAACAAGAAGGCTTCGACCCTAGTACGCCAAATGCAATTGCTGTAGTTAACTATTTATGCCATGCGCGGATTATCTATTCTTGGAGTAGGAATACCACTCTTAACAAAAAATCAGCCATCTTAAAGCTTTACGACGACACATCCGTGATCACAGGCAACATCTACTTTCAGCGGTTCATGGCAGCAATGAAAAGTACTGGCGCATTTCAAATGGAGCACGTATCCGCACTCGACATTTCACCCATCCTTTCATACTTCCGCATGGAGGACAATGTGGATCTTGATATGCCTAAGCTCTCTCGCAAGCTCTGCTGGCTCTTAGGCGTTTGTGCGTTTCTCCGGCCAGATGATATCGGTTGCATCGATGTGTCAAAGTCAGAGACCAATGAAAAGGGTCTTCTCCTTACCATAGTCTTCCCTAAGGAGCGACGCGATGGGCAGCGCATCATAAAGTCGATCTTCGTAGGTAGACACCCTAACGACAAGAAAATTTGCCCAGTCGAGGCCTATACAGAATACACCAGACGGATAGCGGACACACCTCTCGAAATCGAGCACCACAAAGATCAGGATTATAAATTCAATCCTCTTATGCGCTTTGTGAAAGACAAGTCTAAAGTCCTTAGGGTCAGTACCATAGGCACTTTTATGAATGAAATCACACGTCGAATTCCAAATCTTCCGTCGAAACGACCTCCTCCAAAGCCACGCGCTATAGGATCAACCTTGGCAGCCATCGCTGGCGTATCAACCCAAGATATCATGGTTCAAGGGAATTGGTCGTCTGACAAGGTTTTCAACAAACACTACCGTGTTTCCCGCAAAACCAATTCAAATTTGACGACGTCTGTTTTTGGTTCGCTCTGAAGTCACATATGGACCATGGCTACGAGGATAATGATCTGGAAGTGCTACAAAGGACGCACTATCCTCATTATCAGAGTAGCCATGGGACATATGTCCCTCCCACACCTCCCTTTTCTTTTCACTCGTTACTAGATAGAGAGTAGATCAGAGCGAACGCTAGATTTTATTTATTTTATTTTTAGTTTTTTCTCGGTCAGAAGGAATAAAAAGAGGTCACACATATGTCCCATGGCTACTCTGATAATGAGGATAGTGCGTCCTTTGTAGCACTTCCAGATCATTCATGTGAATAACACCTTCATGGCCTACCGCCTGTTTTGTTGAAAGAATTAATCTGTTGTAGTTTGGATAATCTTTTCTTGCAGCATTCTAGTTACTGTCGCTTGTATGTTGGGTGTGATGTGTTTTTTGCTGTAATTGCATTACATAAACTGCCCGCTAATTTTCGTAGTAGGTTAGAAGCCTTGGCATTGTCTCTCAGGTTAAGTTTTTTTTGTTCTCATGGAATCAGCCTCACGATGGCAGCTATGATATCCTGTATTTTTTCTGCACCATTGATTTTGTCATCATGGAGAAGCTCTTCCAACCACTTCTTCTTAATTATTTTCTTTTTCGATTCAAATATCTTTTTGAACAACGCAGCAGCCGCCTTTGTTCCCGTCATTGAGGATTTTCTGCTGAAATGGCGTTTCAGATTGAATATTGTTATTGGGACGCAATCCCAATATGAAAATGGAAAGAAAGTCGATGCGCTGAAATGGAATGTTTCTTTCCGGTGGAATTTCGACCTTAGCTGCCTTTCAGCTAAAGGATTCAGCTTCCAGTCTTTGTGGCCCAAAATGATTGACCGTAAGGCAGTTTCCGTAGACTTGCTGTGCGCTCCGACATTGATAGTTCCTGTCATTACTTCGATTGAAGAAGTGACCAATGTGCTCCAGAAAAGTGTTCCTATCACAAGCTTCTTACAATTATCATGTTCAATGGTTGCTACGGATTTCACGTCTAGTGTTGGCTTTACAAAGTTGAACGAGTGTGGGTCTTCCTCTGGATCACGACCATAAATCTCGACTTTTAGAATAAGAATAATTTGGGATCCAGAATACACTAAGGCCCCAGCAAGGTTTCGAGCAATGTCCTCTTTTGCCTGTTTGTAATTTTGCACGAAAAATGATGGTTCTAATAACTGATAGCTGCTACAATCAATAAGTTTGCCGTATCTGCTGGATTCTAATTTTGAGTTAATATCTTCTAACTTAGAGGTAGCTTGCGCCTTTGGTTTTTTGTTTCTCTCCAGTTTTATTATGGGACCCGTGGATGCCCGTTTTGCAGCCGCATGCGTCAGAAGTGCTGTGGTCATGGCACCACTTTTGTGAGTGATGGTGAATGAAGGAAGCGCCTCCAGCATACAATTTGTCAGGATACGGTTCAGAGTACTCTGGTCCAACTCCACCCTCACCCTGTGAAGGATTTCTGCGCTCTTCATATCTTCCTCTGAATGCTCGTCGATGTCTTCCTTTGCAGTAGGGTGGATTTAGTCGTAGTGAGTCCCCAGGCTCTCAGCAGAGACAAAATTATTGTTGCAGATATGGCAATTATTGTCAATTACTTTCTTCGTTTGAGCGTCTGTCGAAAGATGATGACTAACATGTGATGCAAAGCCGGTCCTGATAGCAATCCCTCATTAACCACAGACGGGATAAACAAGCATACCATCGATGGATTTCACATCCTGTAGATTTATCCTTCCATCTTCAGCAATCACTCGCACACGGACCTTGGAGGGATGATAGTCTCTACTGTGGTTTCCCAAAGACTTGGCCGAACTAAACTTTTTCGGACAATTTGTACAGTGATATGATTTTTCTAACTCTGACGGAGTGCCGTCGTCGTGGGATTGCTTAGGCATCTAGAGTAAAAGATAATCATGTTATAAAGTTCAAAATGAATCGAGGGTTAGTGATGTTTAATGATGATTCGCGGCAGAATTAAAAAAAAGTTAGTAAAGTGGTATACAATGGAAAGTAAAAAAAAAAAAAAATCGGTGTATAGTTAGTGTTTAGTGGAAAATAAAAAAAAAAAAAAAAAAAAAAAAAATGGTGTATAGTTGGTGTATAGTTGGTGTTAGTTGGTGTTAGTTGGTGTATAGTTTGGTGTAGCGGAGCGGTGTGGAAGAAAAAGGTGTATTTCAGGAATAGTATGACATACTAGTACTAATACTAGAGTTGAGTACTAAAGTTGCAGATTTTAGTATTTGCTTCAGTACATACCGATTTTTTTTGCCATTCTTTGGATGCATGTCACGGGAAAGGTAGCCGACTATTATACAATCCCGCTTCCACAGCTGCAAAGTATCCAAACTCACCATCCCTCTTCACAAAACCTGTCGTATAGACCATCTGGTCTCTATGGTTCCTGAGAACGCGGATATGCGTATATGTAGTGCTCAGGCACTCTGAGAGCATTGCAGAGATGGATCCCATAAATGCATACTAATATCAATTTCACCCTCGTCCCGAGCGCTCTTTTTTCTGATGAAGTGATACTAGACGCAGTATGAGTATGTTATACTAAACTTTCGTTAATTTGGTACGCAGTACGAGTATGCCATACTGGACACTTGATACTAAAGTCAATACGATCTTTTTATATCTGTATGGATTCGATAACATACCTCTAGCAAAAAAGGGGGCGGAGAGGTGTTTTGCATTTTTGTAGGCAGGGAATAAAAAATGAAAATGGTGAATGGGGCTAGATGCGCTAAAAGAGTGGAGGCAAGTAAACGGTGAACATAGTGCATCGTGATGGTATAGTTTGATATATGGTGTCTGCTGGTTTTTTTCTACTGATTTTTTTCCTTCCTTTGTATGTAATAGGCGACTGATTTCTGCTAGTAGGATCTGATCCGCCTATGAGTTTGTGGGAAAAAATCAGTAAAAATTAATTAGTAAAAATCAATCAGGAAAAAAAAGTATCAGCAAACACCATATATCAAGCTATATCATCACGATGCACCATGTCCACCATTTACTTGCCTCCACTCTTTTAGTGCATCTAGCCCCATTCACCATTTTCATTTTTTATTTCCTGCCTAAAGAAAAACAAAACACCTTTCCGGCCCCTTTTTTGCTAGAGGTATGTTGTGATTTTAGTATCAAGTGCCCAGTATGGCATACCAGTACTACGTACCAAAGTAACAAAAATGGTATCATGAAAGAAGATTTAATACCACTTTCTATGGGTTTTGTGCGGGTCAGTTTTTGTGTTAGTATTACTTGCATATTTATTTATGAATGTCAATCTTTGTCTATGAATGTTGTCTAGTATCACTTCGTCAGAAAAAAGAGCGCTCGGAACGAGGGTGAAATTGATATTAATATGCATTCATGGGATCCATCTCTGCAATGCTCTCAGAGTGCCTGAGTACTCCATATACGTACATCCCCGTTCTCAGGAACCATAGAGACCAGATGGTCTATACGACAGGTTTTGTGAAGAGTGATGGTGAGTTTGGATACTTTGCAGCTGTGGAAGCGGGATTGTTTTTGTTATTTTGGTACGCAGTACGAGTATGTCATACTAAATTTTCGTTATTTTGGTACGCAGTACTAGTATGCCATACTAGACACCTGATATTAAAATCAACGAGCCGGAGACCGTGGCTTCGCCACGGCCTGCTCTTGCCTCGTAATAAAATTTAATGCTTACAACATAGTAAGTTATCTTTATCGTACAAAATAAAATACAAAAACAAAATAAAATACAAAATATAAATGCAAAATAAAATACAAAATATAAATGCAAGTAAAATACAAATAAGTGCTACAAAATAACGTCAGATTGGATAACAATGGAGATGAGCTGAAAGTTGACGTGAATGACTTGGAGATGAAGAAGCAGCAGGATGTCTGAAAACCAAGATATTGTGACTACAATGCGCCCTTGAAGACAATGTTTCTGGTGTATATCCCAGGCTTGGCTTGTACCTTCCCATTCCCGACCAGCACCTTAAGATTGTTTGGGTCAGTACACCGTGATAAAGCAACGTAGAGATGGCCATGACTGAAGACATCTTGAGGAAGATAAACACCGACATGTTTAAGTGTCTGTCCTTGTGACTTATTGATAGTCATGGCGAAGGCTGGCTTGACTGGAAATTGGCGTCTGCAGAACATAACTGGCGAAGAGCGGTCATCAATCGTTGTAAGCGGTATGCGAGGAATGAAAACACGCTCCCCTCGATATTGCCCATTGATAATCTCAGTCTGGATCATTCTTGTGCCCAACGCACGCACAATCATGCGGGTGCCATTACATAGTCCGCGCTTTGGATTCAAGTTGCGAAGAAGGATGACAGGTTGACCGACTTTCAACTCCAGTTTGAATGGAGGCAAGCCTGGTGGACTAAGCTTGTTTAGATATTCTACAGGATAATGGACCGGAGCTGTTGCTTCAGGGTCTTGTAGGCTATCTTGACCAATATAACTGACTGATTGCTGAGTACTACAGAGCATAGTGGTAGCCAATTGGTTTAGCCTGTCTACATCTTCATTGAGAGGGCTCAATATAGCGCGCTCAATGAGTATTTCAGGCCAGAGTCCAGCAGTTTCGATGTCTGGAAATATCTGCCTAATTAGTAGCTTTTCGTGACTGTGATCCTTATTTACAGCTGGGGCGTCAAGGACCAAGTTGTCAGGTATCCTGATATAGTCGCCATGAGGGCCAAAACTAACGGTCGGCTCTGTCCCTTCACCAATACGGAGTAGCCATTCGACAAACGCTTGGTTCTCAGGATGGCTGTTAACTCGCATATTCTTGCTCAGTCTGAGTGTCGTCACCGAAGGCCAAATATAAGATCTTTTCAATGAAGCATCCTCAATCTGAGCCTGTGTCCCACGGATGACAACCGGAAGTACCTGTCTGAAGTCGCCTCCAAATACAAACACTTTACCACCGAACGGAGTATCCTGTTCCATAATGTCTCGAAGCAGCCTGTCTACAGCCTCAAAACAATGCTTATGCTGCAAAGGAGCCTCATCCCAGAAGACGACATCAGCATTACGTATTCTTACGGCAGCATCTTGCCGCATACCAAGATAGCAGATGGAGCGACAGTCAACAGGGATCGGTATCTTGAACGTAGAATGGGCTGTATGGCCGTTATGGAGAATAAGAGAGGCAATTCCTGATGATGCGACAGCAATCACACTTCGCTTATGTCGGTCAGTGAGACAACCAATGAGCGTGTTGTATAAAAAGGATTTGCCTGTTCCTCCTGGGCCATCAATGAAAAAAAGTCTCTCATGAACCTCACCCTTGGCTGCCTTAATGATGTGTTCAAAGGCTATCCTCTGGTCCAAGTTCAAGTGTATCACGTTATTGAGAGCCTCTTGTTCAAATTCCCATTGCTTCTGCGTGTCATCAACTTGATCTTCCTCCTGTAGGGCATTTTCTATTCCTTGAGGCATCTCTGGAAAGTTAGCCAGGCAGGACCCAAGCTCCTTCAGCACTTCATTCAGATCGTAGAGTGCCGAGCTCTTAGCTTGTTCCTCTGCGATACCCTCCGCAGTAGCAGTTGCTTCTCCCTGGAGTCCTTTACATATATGAAGGAAGTCTTCTGACAGGTCCCTTGCAAAGCGAGTCCAAAGAGCCAGTGGGTCAGAGAGACTACAGTTGATCATCATAATACCAAACAGGTGCCGCAACATCCTCGGTAACTGATATGTGGATGCTTCTTCCAAGCAACGACTCCATTCTTCATCATCCTCGAGCAAGCCGCGAGCAAGGGCAGCTGAGTAAAACGTATCAAAGACCTTGTTGACTTCAGGCACGGTGCGGAGCTCAGCAAAACTCTTTGCTCCTTTGACATGCATAAGCAGCAGCCGAAGACAATACCTTTCGCGTTCTTTTGGCTGGACAAAATAGATTCTAGAGAGAACCTTCGTGCTATTGGTCCTGGCTCTCTCTCTCCATCTTCTACTGCGCTTGTCCCAGGTGTAGTGATAAGGCACATCAGGGTACAAATAGTATTCTGGTACCTTTATATTGCTTGCCGCTTCGGCATTGGCTGCATTTGTTGCTTCTGCCCTCGAAATTTCTTTCTCAATGGCGCTATTGAGCTTGAACCATGCCATGAGCTGCGAGTCTGGGCACAGGAGATGACTTGCTCGAGGTTAGCATCAGAACCGAAGACCACTTGCTGCTGATCCTCCAGATGGACAGGCAGTCGAACAACATTATGGGATTGCCCATGGAGCGCAAAGCCATACATACGCCATAAGCTCTCGCAAGTAGATACATATCGGCTATCCCTGTATTTGCTGACCTCATCGAGATTAACATTTCCTCCATCCGCTGCCAGCCACGACAGCAACTGATGCTCTATCATGACCCTTGTGCACGTATTTGTAAATATACTTGACTGATGACACTGATCCACAGACTTCAACGTTAATATGAGCGTTATATTTGGTTGTAAGCCATAAATTGTGAGGAACAACCCAAGTGTTGTCGACAGTGTTGCCTTTTGAGTTTACAAAGGAGCGTGCAGGATCATTACGTCGACGATAGTTCGGGTAGCCATCCTCGCTTCTTGCAGTATTTCCCAAAAATGAGCGTGGGTACTTTTTGCTGCAGCTCCCTTCCACCATGCATGGCGCTTTAGAATTATGGACCCCACATGGTCCATGTACCATGTGGGAAGTTACTGTCTCGTACGCAAGCGGGGCACTGTGTCGATCGGGGATCTCTGCAGACACAATAGAGTCAATGTCGCCTGCAGTCCGAGGCTTGCTTCCATCGTCAAGAATTATGAGGAGATGCTGATGCGGCAAACCACGTTTCTGGAACTCGACGACCCAATTGTAAGCAATAACTTTCCCTAGGACATCTTTCTTGAAGAGGTCATCC